CCATCCACCACATTATATCATGCTCTTCTTAATTGCATCTCATTATTCCAGATCAGATAGGGTTTTCCAGCACTTTGCTGTATGCCAAAAGGAGTCATTGTGGTGCCTGTGAACATTTGAAGGGGAAACTTTTGTGATAAATGGTCCTGTTTGAGAATCATGTCAGAACAGTATGATAGAACAATTAAAATAAGGTATTGATAAACTGGCAGACTACTCATTTGAGGTCAGGATGGCAGTATATAATGCTCCAGCTAAAATGACTGCTCTGATGCCAATTTGGGTTACTTAATCCCAGGGTGGATTTTACCACATTGGATAAAAAATGCAAAGTCTAAATATAATAATATTTACATTTCCTGAGAATGAAGAGGAGCAAACATTCTAGGAAGCACAGAAGTGCAATCTCTCTGTGAAGCATAAAATAGGAAGCCCAGCAGAAATTAACGAAATAAATGCTATTTGCCCATTAAATTCTCAAAAGAGGAGAAGAGCTTAATGACTTCCCATTTAAACTCCTGAGCCTAAGGTAAACTGCAAAGAAGTCTTCAAAGCCAGTGTTCCCTCTTTCACGCATCTTGGAATGTTTTGGCTATTTCATCTCACTAAAGGAGATAAATTTCCTCTCAAATGGAGTTTGGTTTTTATGACAGAAAATTTTTATGACTAAAATCTTTCACTGAAAAGTTTATTTTGGTTGAAATGGGTTTCTGGGTTTGTGGGTTCAGATTATAATTGATCAGTACCAAAACAGGTGGTCCAAATGTTTTTTGGATCACTGACTTATAACTGCATTTTGGGGCTCTGAATTTTCATCTCCATTTAGAAATGGAATCACTAAACTTCCAAAGTCTCAGCAAGATAGGAAAACTACTTCTTTCCCATTGGTAATTGCAGAGGGTCTTATTCCACCAATAAGGCTATTCTTAGCACATCATAAATAAAAGTAAGAGAATCAGAAATAAGCTGGTTTATTCTGTTTTCAAGATCTCACCTTTGGATTCATTTTATCTATCAGTAAATACCAAGGGAAAAATCCTTAGTTATATTTTCCATTATGAAGCAGAAAACATGTATAAACAGAAATGAATAAAAATATCAAGAGAGATTAAAGTTAAATAAAGAGGATGCAGTGTATGCCGTCATTACTTCTCTTAAATGTCCATTCATCAGTCTGCATTTATGGAACTGATGTGTGGGTTTTGTTAGAGCTGTCGAGTTCTGAGATAAATTAATTTGTTGACATAGGGCTCCAATAATAACAAGAAAGTCCTTGACAAATAATTGTGTACTTTGCTATATACAGTACAGAGGCTCTTTTCTAGGAAAACTCACTTTGCAGTAGTAAGATCTTTCTTCCTTTGAAACGCTGTATCTATATAATGAAAAAACACCAGAAGCTTCACCTTCTTTGCTTGTAAATCAGAATAAATCTGGTAGTCACTAGATAGATTCTCTTTAGATGAGAAAATAGTTCCATTTTCATTTCAAATACTTCAGCTTTTGCAGGCTGTGTGCAGCAGCCTGTTCCCTGTTTGATTCCCAGATTGTGTCTTCTGTCCTGAATGAACAGAAGCTATCATCCCTATGAGCTGTGGTATCAGACCCAGTGTGGAAAAATGGACAAAAAAATTCCTCGTGATTATGCAGTGAAAATTGATCTTCAGATTAGACCTCTTTGAGTGCTACTAAAAGGTCCTACTGAGCCAAATGTCTTTCTGAAATGAAGGAATGTTCTTTTAAAAGAAATCATTAAAATTAAACACACTGAAATGTGTTTTTAGTAGGCAAAACCAGAAACAAGTATTTTGATATTACCACATTTGCACAGAATCATAGAATGGTTTGGGTTGGAAGGGACCTTAAAGATCATCTAGTTCCAACGCCCCTGCCATCAGCAGGGACACCTTCCACTAGACCAGGTTGCTCAAAGCCTCATCCAACCTGGGATCTTTTGCCTTGGAATTTTTTGCTTGCTAAGCTCAGCCTTTGAGAGGTTATCCTATTCAAGTCTTAAAGATTTCCCAGAGAAACCTTAATAGAGACAAAAGAGAATCCTTGATTCCTATCCCTGGACGCATTCAAGTCCAGGTTGGATGGGGCCCTGGGCAGCCTGATCTAGTGGTTGGCAACCTTGTCCACAGCAGGGGGGTTGGAACTAGATGATCTTTAAGGTCCAACCCAAACCATTCTATGATTCTATGTTGATGCCTCAAAACATTTTTTAAGCTTTCACATAATATAATATCACAGATCCTCAGTAGATAAAACCACATTCATTCAGTTGAAGCTCAGGTGGGATACTCCTGGACAATCTGAAGATTACTAGATGATTTGTATAGACAACTAGTTAAAGTCCATGCACTATTTATCCAAAAAAACTAATTTAAAATAAGCCAAATGAACCACTGTTGAAAAGTGCCTGTTTCTCTCCACTGAATGTAAATAGAGGCTGGGATAACCAGCTGCCTAGAAGTAATCTGCAATGGAATTATGCCAAGACAACTTGCCTCCTTATGCTTCCTGTTGCTCCTGTAGACAGTTATCTCTTACCAGCCCTGTGTCACATGTACCAGTGCCACCTGTAGGCCTTAGCCATGCAAGAGTGTCTCAAATGCCACTGTGGTCTGTGCTTGGGTGTCTCCCTGAATGTGGCCTCCCTTGGGATGCTCAGCTTCTGATGGTACCCAGCACACAGTGAGCATCAACCAAGACAGTCAGTATTACTGTTGCCAACCATATGAGCAAGGCAGCTGTCACCAGGGACCAGTGCAAACCTACGTGAAAATCTAGGTGAGAAGTATTAATGCATCCTTTCTGTATTTCTGTCATCATTGTTGTCTTTCTGCAACCCTTGGATAGAGGGAGCTTAGGGG